AAATTTATAGGCCTTTTCTGTTCTCTTTTCTCTTCCTATCTTGCTAAGTTTGATCAGAAATGTAGAGTACAGGAACCAGGGTATACCTCCCTTTTTGCTCATTTAATATAAAATATATCAAGGCTCTATCATTAGCAAATTAATACTCCTTATCTACCACATCAGAGATCTTAATCCAGAGTGGGAAATAGATGCAATACAATAGACTTTTCAAAATTTCAAATTTGAGAACTCAGACATAATTACTAGGTACTTAATAAATTCTTAACAAATAATTTGTCAGCCCTAGAAACAGGTCACATAATTAATTCAGTTTCATAATACCGTATGTATGTATGCACTTGCACTTAATTCTCATTATTCACAAATTCCGTATTTGTGAATCCACTTGCTCCCTAAAATTTATTTGTAACTACAAAATCTACACTCACAGTGTTTTCACAGTCTTTCACAGATATGCACAAAACACTGAAAAATTAGTCACCTGAAATTTGAGTTGCTCGATACCTGCGTTTCCATCTGAAGTTGAACAAAGACATGCTTTGCCTTCTTTGAGCTCATACAGTAAACAAATCCTTTTGATAGTCTATTTAGTGCCTTTTTTAAAAAAAAAAAACAAAACAAAACATTTTTGTGCCTTTTGTTGGCGATTTCTCTGTTTAAAGGGGCACCAAGCATACCGCTGAAGTGCTATCTAGGGTTCCTGAACACAAGAAGGCTGTGATGCACCTTACGGAGAAAATATGTGTATTGGATCAGCTTCCTTCAGACATGAGTGATAGTGTTGTTGGCCCTAAATTCAATGATAAGAATCAACAAAATGTATTGAGTGCCATGTCTTTAAACAGAAAACATACATAAAACAAGATTATGTGTTGATCAATGATGAAAATGTTTTGAGAGACTCGCAGGAACCCAATTCTGTATTTCCCCAGAAGCAATGCTTCAGTATTCACTAATTCAGTGTTCATGGCAACTTTACAGAACATTAACTACTACAGATAGTAAGAATCAGCTGTATTTATTTGTTCTTATTTAAAAATCAACTCTGAGTGTGACCTAGGTTTCAGGATAATTTGTTGCAAGTGCATTAGCTCCTTGCCTTTCTCTTCCATTGAATGCGGCAGAGGGGGTGTGGGATATGATGGCTAAAAGTTGGAGCTTCCCCAGTCCAGACTTGAGTTGGAATTCTGCTTGCCTGCTTATTTTTTGTGTGCCTCTGGCATGTGATTTAACCTACTGTCTTGTGCTTTTATCAGTGAAATGGTGTAAGTAATAGTCCTGACCTCAAAGGGTTTGAGCACAGAATGATATAGCATATGTAAGATATGTAATCAGTGAGTAACACAGATCAAATGTTCAATAAAGTCTTGCTCCAGTGGTCACTCAGACCTCGTTTATTTGTAAAATGGTTATAGGGAAATTATATTTAGAATCTACAGTATGCTGGGTACTGTGGAAGCTGCTTTTCCATCATTATTTCATTTAATCCTCATAACATGTGTCAGCTAATTTGAGCCAAATGGTGAATGATAAATATGAACTTCAACTCATGCTAGATTTACCCTAGGAGATTTAACTGAATTGCTTTTTTCTTTCTTCACCTGGATAATAATAGGTAACCAGGTGTTTGTTGCATTAGTCTCTATATCTTTTGCTTGTCAATATATTTTGTTGGAGATGTTTCCAAAAGCAACATATGTTCATTTTAGCAAATTAAAAAATGCAAAGAGCAAAATTCCTTTCCTCTACCCTCCAGAATTATTTGCTGTTGACTTTTTTGTAGGGGTCCTTTTAGACTGTATATGTATTTTTTAAAAAACAAAATCAAGGTCACATGATACATACTTGTTACTGTATGTCCACTGCCTATGCTCTCCATGTATTTCATAGGCTCTGGCATTTCACTGTGGATTGCATCACACTTATTTAACCAGTTGCTTCTTAATAAATATTTAGGTTGCTCTCCCAACCCCTTCATCATAAATGTGCTATGATGAACACCTTTCTGTATCTCCATGTGCGCGTGTTAGCATTTCTGTCTGATGTCGTAGCATTAAGATTCATGCTGCTTGGTTAAGAATTGAAGCATATCATACAAGTGTCCCCCTCAGAGGTAACTATCCTGTTAGCACTGTGAGTGAGTGCCCACCCCTCTACACCTCACCAGCTCTGGATCCTCTAAATCTGTGACAATCTGAGGCAAAACCAACTATTTCACTGTTTTAATATGCATGTCTTTGTTACCGAGATGGAGTGTTTGTCACATCTTTACTGCTTATCTGCATTTCTTCATTCTATGTATTGCCTATTCTTATCCTTTGTGCATTTTTGTATTTTTTTTCCTCACTGATTTATCCAGGAATTCTTTTAGGTGCTACTTCTAACAGTGTATATACGGTGCTTTACAATTTAAAAAGCACTTTTCATATGTATGATATCCTGTAATCCAGTTTGTAGTTGCCTCTGTGGCTTCAGGACAGTCAGCGTGAAGAGACTCTAACTTGCCCTTTGCCTTCCTGCCAGTGAGAGTCAGAGTCTGGACTCCCACCAGATGTCCAGACCCCAAATCTCATGCTCTTTTGGCTACACCGCAGTTTACAATGCCCATTTCCCAAATCTAGCCATATTTTGGACAGGTTCTATTTTTCTGACATTGTTCCACAAAAACAAAGCTCATGAATGGCCATGATTTAAGGCTTCCAGTCTCTGCCAGGTGCTTTCCCAGCTGCTATGAAGTTGAATAAGCAGCAATGCAAGCCTTGACCCTTGGGTGGAATTGGAGGTGGGGCCACCGAGGTTAGGTTTTCTACATCAGCTGATTTGTGCTCATCCCCTATGTGCTCTGCAGAGTTTGTGAAGCGGCTCCGGTACTGCGAATACCTAGGCAAGTATTTCTGTGACTGCTGCCACTCATACGCAGAGTCCTGCCTCCCTGCGCGGATCTTAACTATGTGGGACTTCAGGAAGTACCACGTCAGCAATTTCTCCAAATGGTTGCTGAACAGTATATGGCACCAGCCCATTTTCAATTTGCTGAACACCAGCCACAGCCTGTATGCGAAGGCCAAGGAACTGGACAAAGTGAGGGTGAGCTGCTGCCTTTTAGGGGGAAGCCAGTCCAGTGGCTGAAAGGGTCCTGCTGCCACAAATGCACATCACACCATCAGAGGGGATCCAGACACACCCCTGAGGGGCGGATGGAGTTTATGCTTCAAGGCCCCAGGTCTGCTCTGGCGCTTGTGAAGGCCTCATGCCAAATTTTATATTTATGCATGGTTTTGCATTTATACATATCTTTTAAGTTTTATTTATAGTTTTTAAAATAAAAATTGTATATGTTTAAGTGTGCAACATGATTTGATATACGTAGTGAAATTGTTACTAGTCGACTGATATAGCCATCTACTCACACGGTCACCCTTTTGAGTGTGTTTGTGTGGTGGGAGCACCTGGCATCTACTGCTAACAAATTTCCAGTATTCAAGTCAGTGCTGCTAATTGTAGTCATCACACTGCACATTAAATCTTTAGACTTATTCATCCTACATAACTGCAGCTATGCGCCTTTGACCAACATCTCCCCATTTTCCTCACTTCCCTGCCCCTGGGGACCAGCATTCAACTCTGCTTCTATGTATTTGGCACCACATATAAGTGTGACCATGCAGTTTTTTTCTTTCTATGTCTGGCTTATTTCATTTAGCACAATGTCCTCCGGTTTCATCCATATCATTGCAAATGACAAGATCTCCTTTTATACACAATTGTGTGTTTTTCTTAAAGCCTCAATGTCATATAAGCTTCAGGATCCACAAAACCTGGATCCATCCTGGACCTTCTGTGGATCTTTGGACTCAGTCATGAACCCCTGCTATATAGACTTCAAAGGCTCGTTTGATAGAGTTGTAGCATTTCAAGTTTAGAAATATCATTTAAATTTGACATATACATTTCCAGTGTCCTTTATCATAGTTAAATTTTGCCCTGTTTGGTTTCTCACATTAGGAAATCCAGGAGCAGCTATTTCATATCAAGAAGCTGTTGAAGACCTGCAGGTTTGCCAAAAGGTACTACCATTGGCTGAGACAGTCTGGGCATATGAGTTGGGAGAAACCAATAACCTCCACACACTTGCTAATCCTCTGTGTGCCTCCTGGTCTGGCTCCTCCAATACACAGGGCATCTTAACACAGTACAGTTGCCCATTGGTGTACGTGGGACATTGGTTCCAGGACACCTGTGGATACCCAAATGCTCAAATCCCTTATATAAAATAACAGGGGCTTTGCATATAATGTATATTTGCATATAGGCTACAACAGGGTATGTTTACATATCAATCATTTCATTTGCATGGATTCAGCATAGTGCATGGCACATGGCAAATTCAAGTTTTGCCTTTTGGAACTTTCTGGGCTTTTTTTCCTCAAAATTTTTGATCTGTGTTTGGTTGAATCCTTGGATGCAAAACCCAGCCCACAGATCCAGAGGGCCAACTTTAATTGCCTCAGGTCTCCTTGAGAACACAGACCCTCTCTTTAAAGTTATCTTTTTATTATTATTATTATTTTAAATTGTAGTAAAATAAACATAACAAAATTTTCCATCTTAACCATTTTTACATAAACAGTTCAGTGCGGTTAAGTATGTTCACACTGTTTTATAACCGTCACTCACCATCCAATCCACAGAACTCTCTATCTTGCAAAACTGAAACTATGTCCATTAAACAATAACTCCCCAGTCCCTTTCCCCCCAAGCCCTTGGTGACCACCATTCTACTTTCTGCATTTATGAATTTGACTACTTTAAAGTACATTTGTGATTTGCTTGTTTCACTTAGCATAATGTCCTCGAGCTTTGCCCAAGTTATAACATGTGCCCTAACGTCCTTCTTTCTTAAGGCTGAATGTATATACCACATTTTGTTTGTTCATTCATCCCTCTTGGGTTGCTTTCACCTCTTGGCTGTTGTGAATAGTGTTGCTGTGAGCATGGGTATACCAACGGCTTTTTAAAAACCCTTAATAGAAAAGTATGTTGAACTTTTATTGGCTGTATAGTATTCTAGACCATAATTGTCCTATTACTGATAGATTTTTAAATACCTTAATATTAAAATGTTTTAATATCTTCATAGATATTAAACCTAATAGATTTTAATAGATATTTAGATATATTTTTAGTGTGTTTTATTATTTAAAAAACTAGGTTTTACTTAGTGTAATACTCTCTAGGTTCATCTATGTTGTCACAGATGGTAAGATTTCATTTTTTATGGCCAAATAATATTCTGTTGTATATATGTGCTACATCTTATCCAGTTGTCTATCGATGGACATAGGTTGCTTCCATATCTTGGCTATTGTAAATAATGTAGCAGTGAACATATGTATGCATATGTCTTTTCAAATTAGTCCTTTGGATTTCTTTGGATAAGTGTGATTGCTGGTCATATGACAGTATTTCGAGGAACCTTCATACTGCAAAAGAAGTCAAATAGAGAAAGACAAATACCATATGATTTTGCTTTATGTGTGGAATCAAAAAAATAAAAATAAGCAAGTAATGCAAAAACAAACTCATAGATGCAAAGAACAAAATGATGGTTGCCAGGTGGGAGGGGCGTTGGGAGGATGGATGAAAAAGCTGAAGGGATTAAGGAGTACAAATTCGCAGTTACAAAGTAGTCACAGAGATGCAAAGTACAGCATAGGGAATAATATAGTCAATAATATTATAATAACTATGTATGGTGTTAGGGGAGTATCAGAGTTATTGGGAGGATCACTTCATAAGTTAAATAAATGTCTAACTACTATGCTGCATACTTGAAGCTAACATAATATTGAGTGTCAACTATAATTGAAAAATTTTTTAAAAATTTAAATTCTAGGTTTTAGCTGAATCTCTGCCCATATCCATAGATATATCTTTAGGCTAAACTTCAAGAAGTGGAATTTCTGGAAGCCATGGCCATGAAGGTATAGGCTTCAATTCTTTGACAAAGATAGAGATTTTTAATGGACATAGAGATTATTCAAGGAGTTAAGATTATTTATTGTAATTGGATCATAGGTTTAAAATTTTTTTGTTTTAAAACTCTTTCAGTGTCTGATTTTTATTTAATGATGATATATTACTTTTGAATTAAATTTTTGGAGAGGAGCATGTCTTCTACAGTCATTTGGTTTTGAGCTCTCCCTCATGGCATTGGTGTGACGGGTTGATTACTTCTCAGACCTCCAATTTTCTTGTCTATAACATGTAACAATGCCTACAGTTCTTAGCATCTACAAAAAGTTCTTGAATATCCATTCAGTGTTTCAGATGTTTAAAAATCAACAGGACTCATGTTAAGTCCAGGAAGAAAACACAACAACTCAGTGGTGGACTGTGTGTTAGACATGTGTGCAGGGAGCCCCAAAGGTGCAGAGGAGGCAGAATTTAGTTCATAAGGGATGGGACGGAGAAGGGAGCAGGCAAGACTTCTAGAGAAAAAGCCTGCGCGCAAAGAGGAAGCAGTGTGAGCTAGCACCCCAGGCTGAATAGAGAATTAAATGTGGTTTGGCATCTCTAGAATGTCAATCTAGTATAGGCAGTGGCTGGCTTGGGAATGTAGTGCTTAGTGATGCTGCTCTCTGATTTAGGGAACTCAAGAGGAGATCAGGAGGGTTTGGAGAGAGTTATGTTCAGTTTTGAATGCCCCTGGGATGTCCAAGTGCCTACGACCAGCCTACAGTTGGATGCCTGAGTCTTAAGCTCAGTGCTGTACTCATGGATCTGGGTGCTGCAGGCCTGCTCATGAACAGTCTGAGACAACTGTGAGTGATGAAATTTAGCTGGAATCAATAAGGTAGTGAGTTTTATCTCAGTACAAATCTTTAAGATTTGAAATAATATTGTTTTCTTTTGCTCTGTGTGTACATGAGCAAGCTGCAAGAGACACATTGCTCATTCAGTTTTTTAAAGTCAGCATTTATGGAATTTTAATTTCATGGTTTCCAAGCGAACTTGCAAGATATAAAGTGATGAGTAAGGTTAACTTGTTCTTGCAGCTAGTGAAAAAAATTGAATTAAAAAAAATAAGTGTGAGCTCCAGGAGAAAACAATTGCCTACCCACCGCCTTCCTTCATTCTATCTAGGCCTCTGTGTGGGTGGGTTCTTTTATCCTCTTTGTTTCCTCTCTGGCAGTGCATTAAAAGAATTTGAGCAGGTGCCCAGACACTTGACTGATGAACTCCACCTGTTCTCCCTGGAGGACCTGCTCAGGGTGAAGAAAGGGCTGCTGGTGCCCTTACTCAAGGATGTTCTGAAAGCTACTCTCACTCACGTGGCCCACTGTGAGGTGAGGTTTCGCAGGGGGCAGATGTGTCCCTGAGCTGTCCCTTATGCATCGGGGCCTGTGTTGGGTGTTCTGCGTTTTACATCATTTAATCCTCACAAACCCTGAGGGAAGTGTTGACAACACTATTTCCAGATGAGTATAAATGAGGTTCATAGCTATTAAGTAACAGGCCAAGGTCCTTCTGCTAGTAAGTAACAGGGCTGGGATGCAAGCGTGAGCCAAGCGACTTCTTTCTTAGTCTGGATGCCCAGCTCTGCTTGGGGCTTTCCTTGACTCCCATCTGCCGCCATGTGCCAAATACTGCCATGTGGACTCAGGATCCAGTGGAACAGGTGCTCTGTCTCTAGGGACTGAAGAATTGTAGTGCAGCTATCAGAAACAAAATTAGATCGTTTAAGAATACATGTTTAAACTCATGATTTTCCTCTGGTGCCTCAATCTGCCTCGGTGTGAAATTTCTCCATGCAAAATAAATGCACATTTATTGTTCTGATTCATTGGAACAGAATATAACATTCTGTTCCTTCTAGAGCCTGGGATCATAGATATTTAAATATTGATGCTTATAAAATTCTTTAAAAGTGGTGACTCAGATTTCCCATCAAAATAAATAGTACCAATGAGGATTTTAACTTTTTGACTCTTTCTCTTAATAGCTGTGTCAAGGAAAGGGCTTCATTTGTGAATTTTGCCGGAGTACAGCCGTCATCTTCCCATTTCAAACCACAACATGTAGAAGATGTCCAGGTATCTTAATAAATTAATAACGTAAACTTAATTGCTTAATAACCTAAGTGTAAAGTTAACGTAAGTTCAATAACCAAAGCACAACATTAACTTAAGCTTAATAACAACTTAATAACATTTCTTTAAATTATAATGACAGTGATGTGTGCTTACATGTGAGATTGGAACTAATAAAGTTTTAGGTGCACAGGGAGGAGTATTTGGGTGGGCAAGGATAAGGGATGATGTCTCCTGGTACAGGATTTGGAGAGAGGTGGTGGTCACTGTCTTTCCTGTTCCCCAATTCTTCTACACCAGGGCAAGCTACAGCCAGCCCAGTTTTGTAATCCACTGTGGTCACTCCAAGGCTGAAATTGTCTCTGGCTTCTTTTACACTACAATGGCAGAGTTGAGTAATTGTTATGGAGACCATATGGTCCTCAGGGCCTAAAACATTTACTATCTAGCTGTTTACAGAGGTTTGCAGACCCTGGTTCTTCTGTATTAGTACCTGAGGAAAACCTGTGCTCTCTAGAGGACCTAAGACTACTCTTCAAAAAGCAGAGGCAGGGGGACTCTCTATATTGTTTCATGGGAGAGGTCTGGTAATGAATTCTGCCTTCACCCTTGATGTGAGCAGGCCCTCTTCTTAGATTACTCAAGGGTTGTTTCCCCTAACTCATTAGGCAGTGTTATAGGATAGGTTCCCCAGCAGAGAAGCTGTGAGACAGGAATTTCCATGCAGAAAGTTCTCTGAGCCGTGATATCAGGCTCAACACCCATGAGGGTGTGAAGGCAGCGGGATCTGGCAAAGGAAGAAGTTGAACTGTGGTGTGTCTGTGATGCCAGAGAGCTCGACATGGTGGGAGTCCAAAGAGGGACCCTGACCCCGGAGCTCCAGTGACTAAGTTCTTGTCTTATGCCACGAGAAGGAATTCAAGGTCATGACAAACAGCAAGCAGGAAAGTGCGAGTTTTATTAAAGCGCCAGTACACACTTAGAAAAGTCAGGGCAGCTCAGAGAGTCTGCCCGGAGCTGTCTAAATCATGAGCTTTTGTTTTCTTATAGATGGAGGATTGTCCCAAGGATATCCAACTTGCCTCCAGGTCTTGGCCTGTTTCCATGCCACCTGGAGGGGAGGAGGCAGCCCAAGGCTATCTATCTTGTCTCCTGGCCTTGACTTGTTTCTCATGCAGGGGTCTCACTCTTGGAATCAAAATAGGGAGAGGGCTTAGTAAGGGATTGAGGAAAAACTCCAGAGCCACATTCTAGAGGGGAGGGAGAACTTCCCTAGGCTGACTATCCTGCCTCAGTTTCAGTGAAGGCCCAGCACATCATGGGGAGTT